AATGTACACCCGGTTTTTGAGGCTGGTAGAAGCTAGCTATTGTCCTGATTATTTTAGCCTGCTCTGAAACGGTAAGTAATTGCAAAACTCTGTGAAACAGGCACTCTATATCTTTTTGTTACCATACAGTAACTGAAAATGAACAGTGTTATGGATGCTGCATGGACCACCTTTAGCATTTGGTGGAAGAGGGCTAACTTGAGACATTTAGAAAGATTTCCTTAAGGTTTTTGCATATAAAGTGCTTATATTTAACATGCCTTTAAAGTTGGAGAGGATCTGTCAGAATGTGTGTCTCAAGGGTTTGTTTCCCAGATGCCCTCTAACTTAGGGTAAAAGTTTCCTATTAAATTATTAGTGAAGATCTAAATCATTGCCATTGAGGCAGGGAAGCGTGTATTTAAGCCTCTTTACACAGTATCTGTGGTTCATTCATCCCTGAAATGCTGAAGGAGCCCTCAGAGGGGGGGAAAAAAAAAGCACATGGTTTACTTTAAAGTTGAACTTGTTCTCCAGCAGTTTGCACCTTCATTGGAAAATTTAAAGGGTTTAGCAAATGCAAAAGTACTGAGATTAATGCTACTGATGCTGGCATTAATGGATTGCAACAACCTTATTACATCTCATGGTGTTGCCACAGTTGTGTTCCACACCATTTTGTGTTGTGCCACTGTGTGTTCAAATGAATAACTTCCTGAACCGGTACAGCTCCAACATCATGACGTTGCATCCAGACCAACTGACTCTGCTGTTTCAGAGGCCTCTTTAAATAGCTGTTTTGTGCTATGCAGACATACCAGTTTGAGTACGAGACTGTAGAAACTGCATAGTGAGGGCATCAGCATCTGCTTTCCTTGTGTTGGTTTCTTGTGTTTGTACAGATGCTTTGTACTGATTTTTCTCTCTCTTCTTGAGTGGTACATGCTTCTAGCCATAATTTTGTATTAAAAAGTCCCAATAATGAAAGTGTGGAGTGGCGGTGTTTCTAGAATATTACCTGACTTAACATTTTCTAGGGAATCTTTGAATAGAAAGGTGGAATTGTATAAGGCTTTTTGTTAATCTATTGGATATTTGAAACTGAAGCCTCAGAAGAGAAGAAACTGGGAAAATTGTTGAAAGTGGCCATTTTATTTTACAGAGTGGGAACCATTTGTTTGTATTTCTGCAATCTGAGCTGACTATGAAGGTCTATGATGCTACTTTCATTTGAAATTGCTGCTCCCGAGGCTTGCAGTCAGCTTCTCTTAGCATTGTGCTACAGCATCAGTTGCCAGGTCACAGCCACTCTAACTGCAAGCCCATTACTTAAAGGGGAGGGGGGGCACTTGAGGTCTGATACAACTTGGCTGTTCACCTCTTACTCAAAGCTGGCTGCAGCATATAGGAGCTGGCTGGGCAGGTCTGGGTCTGACAGCTTGCCCTGCAAAGGAATGTTTGATTCACAGTGTTGTATGCAGGCCCTGGCACCCCGACCCTGCTGCCAGGGATGCTTGTTCATAGTGGGGTTTTCATGGGGTGCCAAGTCTTGAAGATGTAAAATGCTGTATGAAGGAATAGATAGCCTGGGGATTCAACAAGGTAGCTTTTTCAGTTTGTACGAAATGTCTGGAGAACAAAAGCGTGTTGTATGTTGCTATTTGGATAGGTTTATATAGAACAACCAGGAATTCTGAAATGTCCTGGTAGCAGTAGCTAGTGATAGATGTCTGCAGGGCTGAATTGCTTTCCATCATGAAAACATGCTTGCCTCTCTGCCCTGCTAGAGGCTTGAATTGCAAGGTTTCCGTTGTCATGTTCCTGCAGAGTATCTCATCACTTGCACAAACAATGTCATTGCTTAAATTTTAATCTGAGGAAGTGGAAGTACCAATATCAATCCTGAAGTTTGCAAGATGTGTTAGGAAGTCCTCTCTTAAAACAGCAGGACAAAAGGGTTTTTCTGTTGTCCGTCTTCCCACATACACGCACACTGACACCCTTAATAGAAGGGGGAGTGTCTTGGCCATCTTTGGGCTGCAGGGAAGTCATGCGAGTGAATATGTATAGCTGCAAATAAGCAATTTACTGTAGCAACCAACAGCAAGGGCCGGCATAGTTGGCATCCCTCTCCACTTCAGTAACTGAACCAGGTGATGCCCTGTTAAACCCAGCCCTTGTCTTCTGTTTCTCAAACATGTGAACTGGCTAACCATCTCATTCACAAGTACTGGAGTAGTTATTACCTGCCACTAGAGTTCATCGATACAAGGTGCTTCCCTTTTAATAAGGGTTTGCTGTAGATTGTGCCTGACCAGAACAAGAAGTCTTACTTCTTTATATAAGATAACTTGCCTGCCCTCCCTTCTCCTGCAGCCCCCTCCCCCCGCCAAGTCAGTACCTGCTACCATGTGTTTGATGCCTGGTCAGCCTTCCTAGACTGTTCTAGCCTGTTTTGGCATAGTAAGGGATTGTGTGATCTCGTGCAAAGCTTTGTCAGGATCTTGGGCAGTCCGAAAGTGGTTTATTAGAGCTTTAGTGTTTCAGGTGTCCTTCACTGCCCTTCTGCGAGCTATTCCAGCCTCAGATTTAGAGGGAATCAGGATGGCATCGTGAGTTGTTGGTAGACAGCCTTATGCTACAGAGTGCAGCTTCTAGAAGCTGGTGTGTGGGAATGCATTCATAGCTCAGTTAGTTACCCTGCTGTAACTGTAGTTTCTATCAATGGAAGATCACAAAATCTATAGGAATTAATACCTTTCCTGCTATTTCAGAGCTCTTGAGAAGTGGATTTTGGCTTTGATAAAGTACTATGAGGGCAGTTGAGATTGCTCTGAGCTATAAGGTATGAGAAAGCACACAGGCCACAGTCCTAATAGATACTGCTGTTTGGAAAGCTCAAACGAGTAGACCAAGACTTTCTGCCTCCACAGGCATTCTTGCTAGAATTAGAATATGCATGGGCAGTGTAGTTTCCCTAACACTTAAATATTTAAGGAGATACTGGCTTCCCTTTGCAAAAGCAGGAGGGTGTTTTGCTGTACTTGATAAGACTCCTTCAGGTCTGTTTTGAAGAAATACCCGCTTTCTCCCTGTAGTGGAAGCAATTTATGTATTTGACTCGTGAGACACATGAAATAGAAGCACAGTAATTCTTACATTTAGACTCCTTTCTGCAAGGATAGAGTTATTGACTTACATGAAGTCTTAATCTGTGGACAGTTGTGACTTTCATCAGTGCTTCGCTAACTGTTGTAATGGGATTTTCACTTTCTGTGGTCTTGAAACATGACGTCAGATTTGTCTGCCAGAAGTTTTGCATGATGACAGGTCAGGTCTGCCTCTGGTGGGAGTGGGGTATTTGGACTGTCCCTGAGTCTAAAGCCTTGTTAAAAATGCAGCCAAGGAGACAAGAGCTGGGAATTGCATGAAGAAGGAACAGGCTTCTCTTAATTAGCCTTGCTCTACAGAGGAATCTTGAAGCAGCGCTCCCACTTTCCTCTACCATACAATTTGCAGTTGGCTTCCTGGTGTTAAAGACCGGGAAAACTGTCATTGTCTTTGAGAGTTTTCTCAGGGCTGTCTTCATCTCATTGTCTCCAATCCTCTGACCAAGTTGCATGGTCTTTCTCTTTCCTTTCAGTCCTCTAGTCTCATGAGACTTGAAAATGCATTTAATTTATTTAACCTACTTTTAGAATAACTGCCTGAAATGAAAAATATCCAAGTGTCAGTACAGTCCTCCTTTTATGAAGATGTTCTATTGAGTGGTAATATTTCCATTATTGGTATCAATTAGCTACGATTTTATTTGCCAGATCAGATGCCAGAAATACCGATGACTAACTTCATAACAGATAAAGCCCTTGTCTGACTTTCTAGACAAAGTGGATCACATCAGATAGTTAGATTGTCGCATCAGGTTGCTTATTGATTAGTACATATGCATGTACAGAATTAAACTGAGGATATTTGCCAGAAGGCCTTAAATGTACTGCTGTTGTAAAGCCCTTAGCTAATTACTCTTCTGCCTGTAATTAATAAACTAATGCCTCCTGACTTCAAGGATTCACTACCTCATCTGCACACTTAATGGCAATTCACTCTGTGACAGAAGTATTCAAGGTTGTTTAGTTCTAAAGATCCAGTTAATTCTTGCTATCAAACTTTTTCCTTTGTGGTAGTATCAGACACTCGGATTTGCCTGCCCTGTTTGTTTTTTATGCCCTTTTCTGTAACATTTTGTGAAACTGAGAGCAGTTTGGGAAGAAAAATGTACAAAACTTGCAATTTTTTTCTGCCTCTCTTAGGTGAGAAGAGGTTTAGTGTACATGTTCCTTCCAAACACGTTCCGCATGTTTGCAGAGCGCTGCTACAGAATGCATTTCAATCCTAGTACTGCAAAGTATTAATAATAAAATTAGCAGTTTGGTCTCTATCCAAGTGTGGATAACTACATGAATGTGTTTTAGTGATCACTGTCTAGTCACTGTTTTGTGTGGACCTTCTCTCAATTATTTATATTCTGTTAAGGGTATTTTTGTGCAGCTTTGCTTAGATAAAAAGTCTATTCAATACAGTGCCATTTTTTACTAGAAGCAGTTAGCATTGTGTGCACTGCAGAACACCAGTCTGAACCATCTTGATGACCAAGAGAAACTTTTGACCCTCTGTATGCAATAGAAACTGAGCCTGAATGTCTGTGTACTCTTCGCTTATGTTTGAGTGCACATCAGCTGCTTCCCGGGATTGCACTGAAAACTTGGTCTGTGGCATTGAGGCGAGGTACCCTGAAGGCTTAAACCCTGTATAATGGAATTTTTAAATTACATCAGTTTCCAGGGTTTGACGTTTGAAGAAGGCTTGGTAGAACTTGGAGAGTCACTTTGTGCCTTCTGCTGCAGGCATAGGGTTAAATGTAAGAGCCGGTTCTCTGTTCTCTAATGCAGTTTTAATTGGTTTGACTGAACTGTAAGTGTGCCTTTTTTTTTTTTTTTCCCCCTCCTTCTTTCTCTCTCCAGCTGAGCATTGAACAGGCCCAGGCTGTGGCAGAGCAGGTTGAGATGAAAGCTAAGGTGGTACAGTCTGAAGTCAAAGCAGTGACAACAAGACATAAGAAGGCCCTGGAAGAGCGAGAGTGTGAGCTGCTCTGGAAGGTATGCACCTGTTACTTGTATTTTGTACACTTTAACTGCTGGCAGGTGACCTTTTAAACTGGAAACATGTTCTTTAACTGGTAAAGGGTCAGATTCTGATACCCATCCAAGGAACATTGAGTTCAAACACTACAGTTTAAGATAAGCCAGCTTACAGCAGCTTACAGTTTAAGCTGCTGTTCTGTAGGGAGCAGGATGCTGGAATCTGGGCCCACATAGTTTTGTATTGTAGATATCTCTTAATATTAGAAACTGGAGGTGGGGGGGTTGTTTGCTTTTGGTTTTTTTTTTTGTTTTGTTTTTTTTTTAAAGAGGGACTACTGTGTCCTCAAATAAGCTCAGCCCCACAAGAAAGGTAGGCACTCCCCCTACTGGCTCAGCTGCAGTAACTCTCAGCCCTGGGGAAGGGGCTGTCTGCAGTATTGACAGCATGGGGAACTGTCTTTGATACCTTGTGTTCAGAGAAGATGCCTTTAAAAACTCTTTAATACATCGTTGTAGAATTAAGTACAGCTTATATGCTCCACTTTGCTCCTTTCCTTTGCATCTAAAGGAAACTTTTTTTTTGTTCCCTTGGAACAGACTAGTAGGAATTCTGCAAGACTTTCATTCTTCCCACACCCAAAAACACATTTTACTTTCAATAAAGGTAGTGTCCTTCTGTTTGTGGTGGAAGGGAGATAATGCAGTTTTCTACTAATAAAGTAAAAAATAGACTCCAGTAGGAACATCTACACATTCCCAGACCCTTGCACTCACTTCAGCCACCCTGTGTATGTGATACTTTGTTGTCTGCACCCCTGCAAGCCCCTGCCCTTCCACTCCAATGGGGACCATACCAGTGAAGTGCCTTACTCCAGAAAGGTAGCTTAGTGGTTGTGACTTTTTCCTGCTTACCTAGCAGAAGTTGGTTTGGATCAGGCCTTTGGTCCAACTTGTTGAGTTGAACAGAAATCCCCTTAGTCCTTTCAGATCAGCAGCGAGTCAAACTGACTTGTCCTATGGCCCCAGGATTGCTAAATTTGATACAGGGCAGGGAGCAGAAATGTGTGGTCAAGGTGGGAGAAGCTTAGTTAGGGGTGAGTAGCAATGCTCCTGTAATCTTCAGTTGCACTAGATGAAGTGCAATAGGAGACTAGACCCTGTGTGGCTGTTGCTGTGCTGGCAAAACCAGGCAGGATGGCTTATGGCACACTTGGCTTCATGGGCACACACTGCTGGGGAGCAGTGCCATCCAGCTAAACTGTTTCTCCCCTGCCTCTTCTCTAGGAACACTGACCGGCACACTGATTTTCTGGTTTAATGTTTGTTGCCACCAAAATGACCACTCTGTTAGTAAGAGCTTAGTCTCGCTGCAGCTAGAGTAGTTCCATGCAATACTCTCCTAAAGGAGATGTTTGTATGTTTTGCCAATTTTTTTATAGAGTGTGGACTGTAAGCTTAAAAATGTACTCTATAGTTACCGTACTTCTAATACTTCTTTCTTGAGACATTTAGATCGAGAGAGAAGTTCATTTTCCGTTCTTGGCTTTCCTAACAGGCCTGGCAGCCTTCTCTTTAAGTTCTTCTTAGTACAGGAGAAGAAGGAATTACCTCTAAGCCATTTGTATCTCCAAAGGTTCCATAAATGCACTTTATTCGGATGTCTGCACTGAGAGCAACTTCTCTTCAGATTATAAACAGACATTTTGAGAAGGAAAACCAGTTCTTCATAGTAAAAATAAATAAATAATAATCATAAAAAAAACTAGCCAGGGAAAAAAGGAAAGCTTAAGCCCTTACGTCAATACTGATGTTAGTGAATAATTTTAGATACCAAAGCAGAGACACTGAAAGTGCCCAAGTTTGCTAATCTCTTCTGAAAACTTGTGATTTTTAATGAGCTATTGAAGGAAGCTTCTCTTCAGTTTTTTTTGACACACGTAGGTAGAACCTGCGTGCCTTGTAACTTTAGTGAAACAGCATGTTTATGTCTGTAGTGAATTTCTTCTTTCATATGCTCACTGCTGTGACAGGAGTCTTTAGACAGCGAATTGTCCCTCACTACAGTATTTTGCTGGTTGGTCTGAATATTTGCTTGGCTGCAGAACAATAATGAAATGCATTTTTGCAGCAACACAGTAATTGCATGTTTCATTAACTTTTGCAAAGCAGGTTTCTTTGCCAGATGGCCTGAACTTTTTCAGAAGCAAAGAACCGAATCACAGGCGCATATATAGAATAGTTGTAAACAAACTATTTTTGTTTGACCTTCAGTCCCCCAAGTAGGAGCTAGCAGCAACCTTTTGTATCCTTTTAAGTAACATTTTAAGGTGTCTTGTAAAGCAGTAGTTTAGCCTGATTGCCAGTATTTGCAATAATAAAACAACCAAATAATTGGACCCTTAGAGTAGGGTCAGCCTCTGCTCAGTTTTTTGGTGTGAGGGGAGGGAGGAGTTGGGGGAGGGATCTTCTTGAACCCACAAATTTAGATGCTGGAGAGTAGAGAAATAAGATGTGCCTTCTGATAATCTGAGTGCCTTATGACTAGAAGGTGCAATAGTAGTTTAGGAAGGATATCGTTATTAGTCGATAAGCAAACAATGATTCCTTTAAAATGGCATAGCAGTGCAGCAAGCCTGCAGAGCAAGAATGTATGTTAGGTTTTGTGGGGGGGGTGTGGGGGTGTGGCTTTGTTTGGGGGAGGGAGGGAGGTGGTGGTGCTGTATGTTTTTGTTGCCCCCCAAAAGATGTGTGTCACAGGAGTGAATAGTAACCCTCAGATGATTATTTCTCTTTCTCCCCATCGTGGTTTCTGAAGAGCTTGTTCTGGTTATCATATCCTGTGACGACTGCATGACTTTCTTATGTGGAAGAGTCGCATTAGGAAATATTTCTGTCTTCCTGATATACACGTTGCACATGTTTCCTCTCTCGTCTTTTCCTCCCTTTCTTTCCCCATAAGGTGGAAAAGATCCGTCAAGTCAAGGCTAAGTCGCTCTACTTGCAAGTTGAAAAGTTACGTCAGAACCTAAATAAGCTGGACAACACTATTAGTGCTGTCCAGCAGGTCCTGGAGGAGGGTCGTACCATGGATATTCTTCTGGCTCGGGACCGCATGCTGGCTCAGGTGCAGGAGCTGAAGAACGTGAGGGGCCTTCTCCAGCCACAGGAAGATGACCGGATCATGTTTACTCCCCCTGATCAGGCATTGTATATGGCCATTAAATCAATGGGCTTTGTCAGCAGTGGGGCTTTTGCTCCTCTGACCAAAGCCACTGGGGAAGGCCTCAAGCGTGCACTGCAGGGCAAGGTAGCCTCTTTCACAGTGATAGGCTACGACCATGATGGTGAACCTCGCCTTTCTGGAGGCGACATGATCTCTGCAGTTGTGATGGGCCCGGATGGAAACCTGTTTGGGGCAGATGTCAGTGATCAGCAGAATGGGACCTACCTGGTCAGCTACCGCCCACAGCTTGAGGGGGAGCACCTGGTGTCTGTGATGATGTGCAACCAACACATCGAGAACAGCCCCTTCAAAGTCGTGGTGAAATCCGGCCGCAGCTACATTGGTATTGGGCTACCTGGGCTCTCGTTCGGCAGCGAGGGAGACAGCGATGGTAAACTCTGCCGCCCCTGGGGTGTTAGTGTAGACAAAGAAGGCTACATCATTGTTGCTGACCGCAGTAATAACCGTATACAGGTGTTCAAGCCCTGCGGGACTTTCCATCACAAGTTTGGCACGCTGGGCTCCCGGCCTGGCCAGTTCGATCGGCCCGCTGGTGTGGCCTGCGACATCTCACGTAGAATTGTTGTGGCTGACAAGGACAATCATCGTATCCAAATCTTCACGTTTGAGGGGCAATTCATTCTGAAATTTGGGGAGAAAGGAACCAAGAATGGGCAATTCAATTACCCATGGGATGTGGCTGTCAACACGGAGGGCAAAATCCTGGTCTCCGACACAAGAAACCATCGTGTTCAGCTGTTTGGGCCTGATGGTGTGTTTCTGAACAAGTATGGCTTTGAAGGGGCACTCTGGAAGCACTTTGATTCCCCCAGAGGTGTGACTTTCAATCACGAGGGCCACTTGGTAGTGACAGACTTCAACAACCATCGTCTTTTGGTCATCCATCCAGATTGCCAGTCAGCACGCTTTCTGGGCTCGGAGGGTACGGGGAACGGCCAGTTCCTGCGCCCACAGGGTGTGGCAGTGGATCAAGAAGGGCGCATCATTGTGGCTGATTCCAGGAACCACCGGGTGCAGATATTCGAGTCAAATGGTAGCTTTTTATGCAAGTTTGGCACTCAGGGAAGCGGCTTTGGTCAAATGGACCGTCCTTCAGGTATAGCCGTCACCCCTGATGGCATGATTGTTGTGGTCGACTTTGGAAACAATCGAATTCTCGTCTTCTAATCTGTGTTTGAATTAGGAAGAAACTGTCTCAGGGAAATTCTTCTAAGAGAAAATGAAAAAATACAACGTTAATTCAAACCTACCTCATCTTTAATTTTTTTACAGATGAATGTACTTATCTTTTCTGCAGGGAGTGAGCCTGTAAAGTTGAATTCTATCTACCTCATTGTCCTCCCTTCCCTCCCCGGTTTTTCTCCCCCCTTCCCCTCCCCACATACTCACAGTTCAGAAAGTTTTACCTCTTCCCCCGGATGGGGTTTCATGCACAAACATGTGTTGCTGTGCACATTAGGTGATTTGTGTGGTGAATTCTGTAGACTAAGCCAAAAAGGCTCTATATAGTGTTGTGTTTCTTTCTTTTTTTTTTTTTTTTTGATGGAGGGGAAAAAAAAGTAGTAGATATTTGTAGCGAATTTGTGTTCTTGATCATACTGCAGTTCTGTGGGCTGGGGACATGGGAGGGGGGAATTTTTTTGAATTGCTGCTGCAGCAGAGAACTTTTTCCTGTTCTCCTTTTTATACCTCAGTGTGTTTGATTTACTGGTGAGCAGTGTCTCGTTTCCAGAAGACTAAACGATTTGTGAAAGTGAGTGGGATTCACTTGCCAGAAAGAGCAAGTTTGCATCTTTTTTTGGCATTTCTTTGTATTTTTCCTAAAATGCAGTAATCAAACAGCACAAAGCAAAGCTGATAAAAATGCACACTATTTCTTTAAGTTTAAACCAAATTATTCATTGTAGTGGCTTAGTACAGTCATTATAAAGTTTAGATAAAAAACGAGGCTTCCTTTAATGTATCCTGTCCTTTGAGTATTTCTTTTACCCCTTTCACCTGAAAGTTAAGTTAGTTTCTTGTTTTTGTTTCTCTTTAAGTTGCTATTGTTTTTTATCAGTACGTGCAACTAATCTGGATAACAGCAGAGGTTACAAGGAGCATCGAAATAGGGAAAATCAAACCCTTGATTTAAGGTCGTTTCTTGTGAAACGACTAGTTTTTGTTTGTTTTTTCTTCCCCTCCCTGTAGAGAGACTTTAAGGGAATAAAGTTGAATGGATTTGTCAAAACAAAGTGGTACCTTTTTCCAAAAATAAGAATAAGCACAGCTTTGGAGATTCAGGGTGCGTTTCAGAGAAGTCCACAGCTTTTGTCTTTTAAAGAGGATTTCAATACCTCAGTCAGTGACAAAATATAATTCATCTCATCCTCTGCTTCCCTTAAGAGCTGGATTGAAATGTTCAGGAAGCTTTATTTTAGGTTTTAGCATGGTGCAGGCCTGTGGCCCTGTGTACTGTTCTGCTACAGATCCAAATGAAAAGTTACCAGCATAAGGCAAACTCGATCCACATAAAGCTTTGCTTCTTTATTTCAGGGCAGTACCAAAGAATTCTGTGTAAAATAAATTGATCCGATTCTTTAAAGCTTGGAGGTGGAGGGGGAGGAAATTACCCCTTTCAGGGATATAAACTTTTTCTGAGAAGCAGAGACTTTTTGGGAAAGTTTTGGGAGAATGGAGATCATCTTAGAGAACGATGTGACTTTGAGTCCCTGGAAGTCTTTAGTTTAATCTTCAGTTTCTTGCCTTCCACTTTAGCTGTTGTTAGTACTGATGTGGTCTCTAGAGAGCTACTGCTTCACCCTCTGGGTAAGAGCTTTGGTGGCAAACCGGAATGGTTAAAGTAGGGAACAGAAGGCTTTTCTGTCACACAGCGATGGAAGAGTTCACACATCAGTACTCCTCTCGGTGGAAATGCTGCGAGATTCACGTTGTTGTTTGCGAGAGAAGATCTCTGAAACATGAGCAAGGTTATTATCAGAAAGGCTGAAGTGCCTTACTGCCCTCCAAGGAAAGGGTTCATCTCTTTGCCAGCCACCATGCACAAAAGTGACCTGAGATTGAAAGGCTCTTTACAAGTTTGTGAGATATCACAAGGTGCACTTTCCTTGTTGCTGCTTTCCCCTCCAAGGAGTGTTAACGTTCTGGGTTTTGTAGAAATCCTGATGCTGTGTGCAGGCAGATAGCTGCCACTTAGAAGGAGGCTTAAACTAAAGGGCCGGAGAGAGACAGAGACATTCAGTGAGATGGCAAAACCTCTTTTAAAAGAAGGGTGAGAAAAACACCTTAATTAAGTAGGATAAAATAACTGTGCTGCCTCTTAGCCAAAGCCTCAAGGAAGCAAACTCTTCAAAGCAGTATGTTTCAGCTAGGCTTAATCTTAGGATAGCATGGTTTAAAAATAATCTTTTAAAGGATAATCTTTTATGGAGATGTCTGTCATTAAACTTGTGTGTGGCCACTCAAATTATGGGTATATGAGAAAGCTAATTTACATTTAATTCTTTCAAGTTCTACTTCTGTATGTGCCTCCCTTCTTGGTGGTGGCCTGCAATTGTGACAGATGTCCATGTTTGTCTTGTATTATTCAGTCCAAGAATTTGTAACTTGGGCTGTGAAAACTAATAAGCCTGCAAGACCTAGATACCAAAGAAAACTGGTTTAAAAAGCTTTAATGTTTAGTTTGCAGTGTTCTTGCATTTATCCTAACATGTCTTAATAACACCTGGTCTCCTCATATCTTGACCAGAGTGGCTGTCAGTGCTGGAGTATGGCTAGAAATGCTCTTGTGCTTTAATGCTTATTGGGGGGGGGGCTTGGAGAAGGGAATTTGTTAAGAGAGGAAGCTAAGCATATGTTTGGCATCTTTGTGCTGAACTGCAGAAACATTCTTGTCTTTCTCCAGCCTGCAGTGCTTAGATGACGACAGACACTGAAGTTGCCCTTTGCTATTTTGTGTGGAGCCATTGCCTAAACTGCCAGGCCCGTTCCTCTCTCAGGAAGAGGAATGACTTGATCCTTAAGTTACCGTCTACTTAATTTGGTGGATTTGCCTACAAACCAAACAATTAGGCCCCAAGTTTTTGACCTCACATGTTGGGGAGCTTTTTAGTTTTAAAAGCACTACTACTGAGCTACCCAAAATAATTTCTAATCTATTTGTCATAGATAGTGCTAAGCACGCTTGGTCTCATTGAAAAGTAGTGTAGCTTGTAAAATGGAGTGTTTTATATGCAATGAAAATAAGTAGCAAAAATATTATACAAGCTTAATGCCAACATCAAATACATACCCCATAGGGGCTTTTTAAAAATAAGACATGGTTCATAAACAAGATTCAAACCTGACTCTGTTTGTTTCCATGCATGTTCTCAGGCTATGTATGTTCTCAGGCTAATGCCCCAGTGTTGTAATACGCATGGTAAAACAGTGTACAGAGGAAAAGCAAAGGTTTGAAGCTGGATTGCAGACCTCAAGTGTTCAGAGGAGTCTGAACTAGTAGAAATGGCCGGGAGAAAGGTGTGAGGTGAGCTTGTTCCCCTCTCTCAGCTCTAGCATTGGGGATCAACAGATTTGGATTAACAGACTTGTCTACTTTGAACTCCCAAAGGAATTTAACTATGCCAGGTTAAACCAGTGGCTCTCAGTAAACTTTTTGCCTGGTGAAACATTATCAGCAGTCAGATTCTCGCTGTTTCGGGTTCAGCGTATGAAGCAATCCTGCCCTTTCTCAGAACTGCTTAAGCAGGAATTTCAGCAGCAAACGAGCTGAAACAGCCGCAGTGCTCACTGCAGGTCCTTCAGATAACTTCACTCCTTTTATTTAGTACCCTTTAAGTATAGTTTATTTGGGAAGCCCATAAACCTAAACTATAAATAAGATGAGGGAAGGATAGCACCTAAAAACTAATGCATGTTAGGGCCAGGCATAACCAGGATGGGAGAAAGAAGAACAAGGTGCTTGGATATGGCGTTCCTGTGGAATTGCTGGAAAATGGGCCCAGTCTGTTTAGAGCTAAATTTAAATGAAAATAAATTAATTTCTGAAGACAGCAGGTTTATAGGCTTATCTGGCCATATCTTATTTTACTACTTCTAATGATCATGAGGCTTCTGTGTTCAGTTCTGGTTTAAAAAAAAAAAAAAAAGTGCCAAAGTGTTTTTTATTTTTTCCTTTTTCTTTAAGGAGTGTAAGCCAAATGGTGCCAAAAGAAAATAGGGTATTTAAAAATAGAGATGCTTAGACAAACAGTTTGGAGCTGTATAAAAAACGAACACTGGTACTTGCTTTAGACAAATATTGTACCTTTGGTCTTTGAGTCCTTGGGAGTTTGAAACCCACTTTGCTGTGGTACAAAATGCACAACTAGAGATGCCACTTTTTTTTTTTTTCCTTGAAGTTCTACCTCACTTTGCAAAACTAAATCATCTACCTCAATCATCAGACAGGTTTGAGAAATAATTGAGAATCTGCCTGGGGGAAGGATTCATCCTGCCTGTTGGACAAGCATTTTTGAATTGAAACAGAGATACTAAGTGTGTACAATGTGGTGACTTGTTGCTTTTTTTATTTTTCCACTGCTTGCCCGTGGAAATATTAAACTGCCCTTGCTAGAGAAACTGTAAATAAAACCAAATGTTCATCTGTTCAGGCACACTGGGCTGAGCAAACAAACACTTTTGAGATTGTTCCGTTTTCACTACGAAGTATGGAAATGTAAACTCTTTTCAGTATTATGACACTACTAGCTGACATGACATACTTCATTTTCATTTGCAGAGTTCTTATGTCCTTCAGACCTTTAGGTCTCCTCTCTACAAGAGAAAAACTTACTTTTATGCATGCCTACAAATATGTCCTGTTTGGAAAGACAAAGGTTATGATTTCTGTAAGCAATGCTATACCAAATGCTTGAAGGGAATAAGATACAGATTTTCTTTTTTTTTGACTTGGTGATTGTATTTGTAGTTTTCTTGACACAATGGGATTTTTTCCACCATGACAGAACAACCAAGTTCCTATTCCTGGAGAGCAGTTTAGGTTCTGATATTCTTCGGAGAGGCAGTTGAAAACCAGTATGTTGGGGTTTTTATGCGACTTTAATAGTGACATGCAACATGGCCTGTGTTTTACCTGTGGAGTGAAGTTGCAGAAGCACATTATCACAATATTGTATTGAAAAATCCTTTTCCT